TACAGGCATCAAATATTTCAACTACATTAATGGTAAACAATTAATTTTTTCAGCGGTATATTGCCCACCTAGACATAAAATTTAGAAAATCAATTTGTAAATTTCTTTAACAAGCTAGGTAATCATTTTGTAGCCGGTGGTGATTTTAATGCTAAACACACCCATTGGGGTTCGAGACTAATAACGCCAAGAGGTCGTGAGTTATATAAAACACTATTGAGTAAAGATTTAACACCAATATCAACTGGAAAACCCACTTATTGGCCTACTGATCATCAAAAAATTCCTGATTTACTAGACTTTTTTAGTTAAAGGAATTCAAAGTAACTTAATAACAGTACAATCATGCCTAGATTTGAATTCGGACCACTCGCCTGTACTACTTTACTTTCATTCCTATACTCCTAATATTTCAACGACAAGATTTCTCACAAACAGATTTACTAATTGGGATAAATTCAAAGAAATTCTTGATCATGATATAAATTGTAATGTTCCATTAAAATCCAGTGATGATATAAAAGAGGCTATTGCATCTCTCACAAACACAATACGATTAGCAGCTCAAAAATCTACTCCTACGATTGATAGTTCTTCTACAAAACAAATTCCAATTCACATTAAAGAAAAAATAGCATAATAAATAAAAAGACGTCTCAGAAAAAAGTGGCAAATTACTAGATCCCCGTCTGACAGATCAAACTTTAACAAAGCTTGTAAAGAATTAAAAAAGTCTCTACATGATATTAACAATGCTAACATGGAAGAAAAACTAAATCATTTAACAGCAACTAGTGAAACTAATTATTCACTATGGAGAATGACCAAAAACTTTAAAAGACCTGTTATACATACTTCACCAATTAAAAAAGATGACAATTCTTGGGCAAGGAATCGTCAGGAAAAGGCAAATGCGTTTGCAGATTATTTTGAGCAAGTTTTCCAACCAATTCCTTCACAAATACGATGTCATGAAGAAAAATTTATACATGACTTTTTATCAACAAATGTTGAGGCATCTGAAGATACTGTACCTATCCGATTTTCTGTTTCAGAAGTTAAGGAAATAATTAAAAACTCCAAATCAGGTAAATGTCCTGGCAATGACTTTATTACAAGCAAGATGTTAAAAGAGTCTACACCTAAAACAATAAGATTTATTACTATCTTATTTAATTCTATTTCGAGATTGAGAATATTTCCGGACGTATGGAAAACTGCCAGGATTATAGTCGTCCAAAAAGAAGGGA